CAAACACCACTACCCACTGTTGAAGCAATCACCATGACACCCCCCAGCAAAAGGAGGAGCATGGAATAACAATACGAACTGCACAGGGAATATCCAGCCGAATAGCGCACGCAGCAAGGGTCATGGTCCCTGCCACCACAACATGCAAAAACCCCCAGCGAGAACACCCCGTGCACGAACAGGAGCAAACAAAGCAGAAAAAGACCCAGAATGGATGGATATAGTAGCGAGCCATCGCCATTCACGATTTCCTCAGATGCATGAGTTTGACAGGTGCGTCAAGAACTGCCTGATTTACTGGACAAGCTCTCTACACAACATGCATCCTCCTGTGCTGGACGAGCATCCATTGACTGTTGAAATCCATGTTCCGCTTGCGAGATGAAGAATCCAATCTGTTCCACCATTTGCGCCTCTGTCTCTCTCTCTGTGGGGTGGGATCTCTCGCTGCCTCAATGCCCTAAACATGATAGGGGCTCGCTTATGGGGTCTGTGAAGCGACGTCAAACCCGTCGAGCCTATACTCACTTTATGTTGTTGTTGTTGTTGCTTTATTGTTTTTAATTGACTATGTACATACATGCCAAACAAACGAGCCCACAGTGGTGAGCACAAGTGAGCATCCCACGCCGCTGCGCGATGGAGTCGCCTTGACCGCTTCAAGCGGCCCCACTGTGCTCTGAATGGATTTTCGCAAGGACTTCACCTGTTCGCCCTGAAGCTGCTTCTCCACCTGGATGCATGACACCAGTCATGGCTGGCAGACAACTGCCTACAGATTCAAGTTCCAAAAACCACCAGCATTCAGCAGACCTGGCCTCCTGTCGGACTTCACGCAGTGCCATCGCTACACTATTTTCAAGGGAATCAATCATGGGTCCCAACCTCTCGGCCACAGGCTTGCAGACTTGACATGTGTGCAAATAGCCCGGGGGAGCTTGATTCTGAGGTTCGCTGATCATGAAGGCCAAGCTTCTCGCAAGAGCAAAGTTCAAGGCAATTGCCGTCTCAATATCAGCAGTGGCGTTCAGGAGGTTGCGGATGTCAGACAAAAAGTCAGAGTCCTCATCTAAAACACCTGCCAATCTCTTCAAAGCGTCAGTCGCCGGCAGGAATCCAATAAAGTTCAAATCCTTGGAGCATAAGTACTGTGATCTGCACAAACTGTTGAAGGAGGATCGGACAAGAATCAGACTGGTTGAATGTCAATTTCTCCATGAAGGAAGGGATATGAATCAGCACAAGTTTCCGCCCGACAACCTAGCCATATGCCATGAAGCATAATACAGCTGGGCCGAAAAAAATATCTCAAGCATTCGGATAGAAGAATAGCCACATGCTTTCATGGGTGTGTGTGGCTCTTTTGCTAACTTTTGGATATCAAACTCGATAAGTTCCCATTTGACGCTTTCTGCAGCGAGGATGTTCATTAACATGGCTTTCTAGGAAGAACCCTTGGCATTCTTCCACTGCGTCCAAACAAGAAGTAGTAATATTAAAGTCTGATTGATCCCAGCATTGAACAAGAACATGCGCATTAGCTATGCTGCCGTGACCCGGACACCATCAAAGCCCAAAGAACTATACAAGTTTGACCAGCCTAGCCTAGCCTGAAAGAAAAGCAAGCATTGCCAAGCATCTATGTTTCCACTGACTGCATCTTGCACCAACTGAGCTGAAAAGCAGGCTGTACCCTGTAGGCCTGCACCCATCTCTCAAGCATGCGGAAAGAAAATGAAAGAAAATCAATCATCCGACACATGACACTTGGATCCACCCACACTTCCATGTGGCCATTTTGAGGTTCGTGTCCCGTGTTGCCTCTGATTATTTCCTGCCTTCGTCGATGCTGTTGTAGGCCCCAAAGCTAAAGGCTTGGGCCACGATGCAGCCACCCGCCACCAACAAGAAACTGACCCAAAGAAAGGCGTGGAATGCACCTGCCGCTCCAAGAGTGAAAACCAAAAACAGTTACATGCATACCATACGCCTCCAGACCGCGCAAACGACTGTGGCAAATACAGCAGATACACAAGACACAATAACGCAAAATCCCAGCGCCTTGTTTACCCAGGGTATGATGAGCTTCCCAGCATCGGCAGCAGCATCTCATGCAACATGGGATCACGAAGCACCAGCAGCAGAATATCCACAAGAAGAAGAGGATAATGAGCAAAACAAAGGCAAATGCCTTGCTCACAATGAAGAGCGGATCCAAATTTCGCTGAATTGCTGCCGCCAAATTGTCAGTGGAAATTCCCTCCCCAATGTTTGCCTCTACGACAGTCTGGTAGATGGGGTTGTTCCGCCCTGCGCTGAATTCCAAAGCCTCTCTGGCTTCTTTGTAGTTCACTGGTGTGAAAGACACGGGGCAAAACAGGTCGACGGTTTCCTGCGCCTCCCTCAATAGCTGGGCGTCTGCCTCCAGGTTGCAAGATCGGGTTGCATACTTCTCAAGATTGAAAACCAAAAAACATGTTGAATGGAATCTGCAAAAGTAGTTTGCATGTTAAAACATGTTGGGTGGGGTCGGCGCATGGTCATGGAATCCCTGTGCGAGCCAACGGGATGAATCATGGGTTTTGTCGCTGGCCTCTGATGCATCAGGGTCTTGGGCAACTACAGCCACATAGGCGCCAAACCAAAGAAGGGCTCGACAGGACGCGGATATCATGGCCAGCACTGGGAGAACTGCCACTGTGTAGGCTAAAGTATTGATGCCATTAGGTCACTTTATCATCAACCTCACTAGCAATCACCGCTATGGGAAGGTCTACTGTATCGCTCTTGGGGTTCTGGACTCTGACATGTTGCTTGATCGAGGACGGCGAAAGCAAATGCACAGGCTCAGACCAAATGTTGCATATGCATATGCATATTTGGAGCGTAGCGTCAGCTACAAAAGGAGCAAACTTGAAGTTGCGCGCCTTGTTCTCGTTTTGTTCTTTCCTCCATGTCCTGCTGCGCATCTAGAGAAATGTGATCGCTGTTGCACGCACTTCCATGACCAAACCCCCCTCCAATAATACCAACTCCCCTTGCGGGAGGTGGGGGGGCGATCAACTAAAACACCGTTGAATCAATTCAGCACCTTTCGTCCCACACCCTCGCTGGCAAACACCTGCTTCCCAGTGAAGACGAACTTTCCGGATCTTGCAGCTCGAGCCGAAAGCAGCACAAAATGTGGTTTGGGTTTCAGTCCATTGAGGAACACCCCAGCTGCGCATCCAAACCCGATCATGCTCTCCAAAAATGGAAAACACGTCACCTTTCACACTGAGCCACTGGCCAGCTTCATTAAGCGAGTCCTTGGCACCCAGGCCAAAAACACCATAGCCGACACCATCTGCAAAAACTCTTTTTCGTTTAAGTCTACGGGTGTACATAGCTAGACAGATACACAGAGAGGTAGGTAGATAGAGATGGGTAGATGGACAGATGGATAAATAGATGGGCCATGATGGACCGATGGATCGACATCGACCGACACATAGATAGGTAAATGGATCAGCAAGTAGATAGACGTGTAAAAATGTAGATACCTGAGCAGGGAGGGGACGAAAACCAGCCTCTGCAACAATGTATACATATATATATATATATGTAATTGTTCTAGCGTGAAGTCCAAATTGCACTGGCAGTGACCTCTACTTCTGTTGGCCACGGGAGGGTAGAGCGCAGAGAGGCGCAAAGTTTCGCATTGAACGTCGATATGATAAGGTCTATACACACAAGGCCTTGATCAACCCACATTCACTGCTAGTGGTTATAGGATAGAATTGGAACCCATGCTTCAGTACAAAGGTACAAAGGGTTCACAGTTCTGGGGGGGTGCCCTTCTTCTTTTGGTTGAAGGCCGTTCTCACGCTGGAAAAGGGCAACTGAGTCACTGAGGGGTGCTTGCTTGGATGTATTCTGTGTCCCTCTCCTGTCCTGCACCTGGACTCACAAACCTGGTGAGTTTATCTCAATAATATCTGATGGCAAAGGTGAGGCCTGTGAGTTGCGGGACGCTGTCCCCTAACTGGTTGGACACACCTGGTTAGCCTCGTCATGACCTTGTTTGTTGCATTTCCTGTCACGCAGTTCCCCCTTTCCTCCTCTACCCCCTGGTAAATTAACAATCTAAATAGTCTCGTGAGCACTTCATAATGCTCTCATCACCAAGACCCCCTAAAACATACGTGTTCACTACCTTGTGGGCCCTCGCTTCTTTTTCGCTCTCCCCCACCAGGCTTTGGGTTCAGCCTACCATAACCTTGTGCCGGCGCAGAAACCACCTGACAAACAGCACCCACAGCTCTAGTACAAGTATTTATGATTTCCAAGAACACAGCACCTAACAGTTGACCTAACAGCACCCAATGTTGGAAGGTAAGGTTGGAGGCGCGCAAAAGCACCACACGGTCCCGGGGTGGCGCCTGACAGCACCCAGGGTTACAAGCAACGGTTCCAACACGATAGCACCCATGGTTCCAGCAAGGAATTCCGGATCCCGGGCGCTAGTGAAGCTATGCACCATTCCTGCCCCAAAAAATTGAAACCCAACTGCATTCGGTTGATCGAAATTACATTAGATCGCATTACTTTACATTACACTACTACATTACATTACACCACATTACATTGCATATACATTACACTACATTACATCCACCGAGGTCTTCATGAATGGCGCTCGCCCGCTCACCTCTTCCTCGCTCTCTCTCTCTCTCTCTCTACAAAGAGTTCATGGTGCCGCCCAGATTTGCAGCCAGCGGGCATTGTGAGGAGGATGGCAAACAAGGGTTCTAGGTTTGAAGAACCACCCTCCCCTTGAGATTTAAAAGGCGTCAGTTTGCTTCAATGACACGAACGAGTTGCCTCAACAAGGCAATGAAATCAATTCATGCATGGCTGAACAGGAAAGAGCTACATCTTCGAGTGGAATGCTGTCGCTGTGGCTCTTCTGCAGGCTTGCTACTTGGTCCAAACCCACCGCTGGAGCATCCGCTGTCCGCCTTGTCGGCCATGGATGCGGCCATCTCTGTCGCAGCACCCTCCACTTCGGGACATTTCAAGAGCGCCTGCACCGAGGAATAATTCTTGCGTTTGACGCAGTCTGAACAAGCAGTCCATCTTTGAGTGACTCATGCCTGAGCCGCATTGGAGCACAAGGCAACGAACACCTTTCTGCTCTCCTCTACAGGCCAGAGAGCAGGAGAAACCGTAACAGCATTCTGATCCTGGAGTTGCAAAACACAAAGCCCGCAAATGTCGCTAAGCTCGCTAAATCCTTTAGCGACGATCTATTTGCAAGACACCAAGCAAAAAGCAAAAAGTCAAAAAGTGAGAAAAGTCAAAAAGTGAGAACAGTCAAAAAGTCAAAAAGTGAGAAAAGTCAAAAAGTCAAAAAGCGATAAATATCAAAAAGATTCAAAAAGTCACAAAGGTAAAGCAAACGAAAGCACGCAGCGAGACTGTTCGACTTTTCGATACTTTTCGACTTTTCGAGATTTTTGGACACCAGTCACATGGCGTGCCCTTCAACAAAAGTCTAGCAGAATTGATCCAAACGTTGCTTTTGCTCCTACAGACGGAGAGAGGATCTGGAGGTCAAAACACGCAGCCCCGATGACCTTCAAAAAGAGACGCCCGCCAAAAGGACCCGGCAAGCCCCGGGACCTTTTGGCGGGTGACTCTTTTTATCATCGTTCCCTTTTCGTGCACTTTTCGACTTTTCGCAAAAAGTTCGGAGAGCAAGTCGATCCAGCTCACACATTTAGCCACCATAGCAAAATGTCTTTGGGCGCTTCGTCCTTCATGCATGCTTTTGGAAGGGCGCAGTTCCGTTCTTGTGTGTCCTTTTCTGGTGTTCACCATTTACTCCATACCGTGCACTTCCGAACCTCCTCATTTAGCTCGATGGCTTCCAAAGCGTCGATGCTGCGTCGCCATACCTTACGTGTGACACCCCCAATCTTGCCTAGATACACGATGAACGATGAACGGCATTAAAACCACAATCTACACTTGTAGCCTGGTAGGACTTGAAGTACTGCCCAGATTGAAAGAGCGCCACCCCCTCTGCCTTCCGAGAAGCCACTGACAGTTCACCTCCAAAAATCAAACTGATATCCACCATGCCTTGTCCTGCTCGGCATTCTGCACCTCAGGGGAGGCATTAATTACAGTATGTACACCGGCGTCAATCACGATTCCAACATTGGCCACCCTCTGTAGCTTGCACACACACACACACACTCTGACACTTGTATTCAGTGACTCAGTTACCACGATGGGAAGGATGGCGGTGGAACAGTATGGCGAAAAGTCCG